CTTCCCAGTTACACCTTGGGTCACTAAGTACTTTGAAGGCAGTTTTCCATTTAACACACCAATGAGAGTGAGAACATCATCTCTGCTTTGCTCACGGTAAAAATCAAGATCTGCCCCTTTCCTCAGTCTTACCGTTATTCATGGATGAGACGGAGCTTCCTGAATTGTAAGCAGTTTCCTAAAAAACAAAAACACATGTTCAGCCCTTCGCCTACACACTATTCTATCAGCTTGAGTCAGGTGAGAATTTAGTCCTGAAAGTGAAATTTAACTGAGAAAATTTGGTTTCTTTTCTTAGGGTTTCTGGGTGCAGTGATTAACAGCAGCATCCGCCTGTCTTGCTCTTGAACAGCAACACACACTGCAAGGAAAGCTTTGCAGATTACTCGTCAGGCTACAGTTCACCAGGTTTATCTTAGAGACAAGTGTATCTTTCTGAATTTTTACTTACCATGTATCTTTCACCAGGAGCTTCTCAATAAAATCTTTTGCCAGGTCGCTGGTATTGCTGAAAAATTCCTCATCAAAATCATAATTCACGGCTGTGATGTTGGCAAGTGTTTCTTGTTTAGCTTCTCCAAGGAAAGGCGATGCACCACTAAGTCTAGTTAACCCATAAAGAAGAATCAGTTTGAAAAATAAACAGCAGAGGTCCCCTAATGGAATTATAGTGACTGTGTAACGTACTCTCAGGACACTCGCAGATCCTGTGTTGTAGCAGCCATGCCACATGGGAAATAACAGGTCCAGCTTTGGCTCACTACATCTAGGGTTATCAGGCAGACTCATCTTGAAAGTCTCTAGTGCAGCACTAATGCAAGCACACAGATAGAAACGCACAGATTCTCCTAAGTGTCTTATTGAAGTCATTGCTAATCAAACTAGAAAAAGCTTCAGCTGAGGAGAGTCTCTACCCCTGTGAACCCACAAACATTATGAGAGAGAAGCTTCTACCAGCTTCAAGCAGATAAAATTGTGTTTCTATAGATCTTCTCCGGGTAGGAAAAGCCCTGCCCCTACTGCTTTTCTGTCTGCAAAGCTACTGACAAATTCCCTGCATGGTGAGTTCAGCCAAGAGACCTTTCTCAGCTGGAACCAAAATACAATGTGTGATCAGAAGTCAGGTGCGTGGCCTTGCCTAGGGGCCAACTCTGCTGGAGAAGTAGGGCCATGCTGCTCATTAAAAGGAATCCACAAACAAAAAGACTTTGGCTGCAATAAAATCCAATTGTTTCTGAACAACAAAAATTTTCATTCTGTTGGCACTCTGCTCCAACTGCAAGGATATAACGGGGATATCATCATAATAAAATGCTATTCAGCAATCTTTACTTAGACAGAAAAAGCTTTTCCCCTGCTTTGCCTATCTCTCAACTGTGACTGACGACCTTCATCTTTGATGACTATTCACCTCTGCTCCATAACATTCAACTGTCAGAACAGATTCATTGCAGACTCTTCCCGTCTTGTTCTCCCCTTCCCTCCCCTTCGTCCTTCCCCCAATCCACAAGAACGCTGACTTGCAAAAGTCTAGTTTATGGAAAAATGTTATTTATACCAAGGAAACTGATCTCATCCCTTTTTTATAATCTTCTGGGCTATTATTATGCTTACCTATTATGTCTAGCTTTGATAGCACAGTTTCAGGATGCAGCAGGCTCAAAACAGCAGACTGCTGGGATCTAAACTGAGGTTTTGAATACTTAACTGCTTGCTTACATGATCCTGCTCAACAGACCTTTTACCCCGTCTGTATTGACACTACCACATTGGCTGGGAATTTGGGAGTAAGCAGAAAGTTAGATGGGACCACCTGGGCCATTCAGCCCAGCCCCCAGCTACCACATGCAGTTTTATCCACAGAATGAACATTTGAGTGCATGAACTGTTTCCTGTCCTTCTGCCATCACACAGTGACACCAAAGCATCTGGCACAGCAACACAGCAGGAGTGAGGTCCTCCAGTTGTCTTTGATGCAGCAAATTTCACCCCATAAGCCACAGTCAATTCCACTTCTTAACAGCTTTTACATACTCTCTCTTAAGCTTTTGTTCCACTTCTGTTAGCCACAAAGAAGGCTACAAGCAGGCGCCTCGCCACAGACCAGGGGTGCTGTTCCAAAACTAAAGCTTGGAAACCTGCCCTAGAGCCTCGGTTTCTTTTCCCTTTCCCAAAACTGTGCCATGAAGCAGCTGTTAATTCCACCTTCTGGCCCTTCGCTGGAAGCCAAAGCCAACAGTACTCTATTCTCTGATTTTTTTTTCCCTTTGGGATCCAGTTTGGAGGTTTGAGAAATGGGAGGAGTCTCAAATCCTGACACCTAATGCAAATTACTTTTGTCATATCCTGACTCAGTGCCTGTAAATATCTAACAGGAGACCTCAGTAATAAAGGCTTTGCCCTTACAACCCAGTGAATCACTTGACTGGTTACTGAATTAAAGACTTGTAGGCATTTTGATCTCTGTACCCGATGATGGTACCCATTTGATTGCTGTCATGTTTGCTAAAGTAGGCAGTATCATTGAATACACCCCATTTATTCAGAATTCTTCAGAACAAAAGGCTTTAAAATTAACAGGCAATAGCAGTTAAAGGCATACAAATTTCTAGTACACAGCATATAATGCAAGCTGACCCCTCCCACCATAAAAAAACATGCTCTTTTTTTCTGATCATTTGTAGGGAGACACTTCAACCTTAATTACTACAGCAATCATTACTAGCCAACCAGGTAAAACAGATCTTCTACGCTGGAGGCAGTACAGAAACCCGCTTCATTATTCTGCCCCCAGGATAGAACTCTCCATGCAACAGAAAATCCTTGAGAGCACCTGCCCATCTCTGCATCACAGTAATCACATGGGAATACTTACTGTGGGAATACTTCCCACCTGCTTACCTTCAACTCCTAAGTTTTTCTCCCATCATTTATGAACACACATAAACAACAATTTACAAAGTCCAGTGTCCTGTCAAGCACAGATGTTGCTGAAGACCAGAGTGCTGATAAAAAGCAAGGGTCTGGACAATATTTTAAACCCCCTTACCTGAGCTTAGGCTCAACCAGTACCCCTATCCTGCACCACAGGACGGGAGGGAATTTGTTGCTCTGAATCTGATCTCTTGGACCATAGCTCTTTTACAGCTTTTGGGGTCTAAGCCTTGGGTATAGCCCACAAATTGATTTCATTTCACTACATTTATTTTCCACACTGAAAAGACAATCCCTCCCCTTCAAGCCTCCATACTTGTACCAAGCCCTGAGCTGTGTAGTCAAATCCCTCTAACACCAGAGTGCACCTTCTTTAAGTTCGGCAGCAAATTAGTCCTCCAAGCGTCACAAGGAACAGCAGAAGCCCAGGGCAGGAATGTTAGGGTGAGGTATTTCCAAGCATGCAGTATCTATCATGCACTGCTCCCCAGCAGTCACAGCAGCTTGATATCAGTGGAAGCAGTTGGGTACAAGGATCCCTGACCGCTTCTGTAATTCTCACATCAAACCAGGGCAAAGAATTCTCGAAGCAACGAGTGCTGTCCCTCCATTCCATGCATCCATTGTCACACAAGCGGTTTCACAAATCTTAAAACTCTCCCGACTGCTTGCCCCCAGGATGCCCACAGAACCTCAATCCTTTGAGAGTTCGAGCTTGTCATAATTTTCTACTTTTGTTTATTCATCAGCAGTTCACACACTTGTCTTCTAAAAAGTATCTTTTTTTTTCCCTTGTACTTACTGACTGCAATGATACTCCCAACCAGCCTCTGCTTTACTAGCTTTAACAAGGCTTTTTTTCTCCTGTAAGACGAATTCTCTGTTCTCAGGGTCAACTTCTCTTCTCCTATCCCAGCTTAAACTCACCTTTCTGAATATGGGTGACCATATTTATGCATACTAATCTAGTCTACTGTCTCTATAAGCAAATTAAAACTTCCCTGTTTTCACCTGAATAACTCACCTTGTAAACAGTACAATTACACTTTCTGTTTCTACTCTCTCCACACACTGCTAGCTCATGCTTGGGCTTTTCCATCCTCTACCACTTGGAGCTGATGAGGTCCTATAAGAAGCAGAAATGCCCAGTGATGCTAGAAACATTTGCTCTTCATCTGTTCAGAATACCCCTCCCCTTTTACCCCTTATTTTAAACTCGAAAAGGCTGCAGGGTAACAGTTGCCCATTAGACAAACCACTGCCTGCTCTGTGTGTGCAGCTCCTTCCTTAACTGACTAAAAGGAAGAGCTGTTTCGAACTACTGCAACAGAGCTTTAGGAACACTTCTACAGGAGTGAACCTGTTGTACTCACAGTATGTAGGTGATGACTCCTATGCTTCTAAAAAACAAAGAAGATTAATTGCAGGGGTTCTACATGAACTGTATTCTTCTTAATGTACTCAATATGAAAAAGCCAATAGTAGCTGCTACACAGGCAGGATAGCCATTGTGGCTTTAGATAATTGCTAATATCTCTCAAAGAATGGTGTTTCAGAGAAAAAGTTAATTTTACATATAACTTTAAGTAATGTGCACATTCAAAATCTCTTTATGTATTTCTACTCTAGCAGGTATTTACCACAGTACAAATCAGAAATACAAAGGAATAGAAGCAAGGATGTTTTATTTGGGGTGACCTCTTTTGCCTGCCTTCTCAGCAGATCAGATTAGTACGCAGGTCTCCTCTGCATGCAGTGCTCTTATAAATAAATCTGTCACAAGCACTGCAGGAACATGTTTTCTTTTAACAGTGCTCCTCTGCAGTGGACAGTGGCAAACTGTTAACTCTGTAACTGCCATTGTTACATTTTTCATTGTAATTTTGCAGAAATTAAACACTTTTCATTAAAAAGAATGCACAAAAATGGAAAGACAGAACAAAGAGTTATTAGCTGCACTTCAAGTTTTTTGGTTTTGTCACAGGTTAGGTTTTGAATTTGTTGCAGTAGAATGGATTCTATTCAGAGCAAATTCGGAAAAAATAATAGTAGAGCAACCTGAAAAAAAAAAAAAAAAAAAAATTTAAAAACTTACTACATATCTGCAGCTAGTCCAAGCGGTTCACAGTTTACTATTTCTGGAGCTGTAAGAAAAATTTAATCCAATATTAGCAACTGAGGTAAAAAAATTTTACCAGGCTGAATTGAGTAGCAGGTCAAGAACTACCAAGCGGGAGAAAGGCAGGGTGGGAAAAGGAAAGGTAGTTACAGGATGCCCTGTTTATAGTTTCACAGCCCTGATAGGAATTCAAGTTCAGAGGTGTCCAGAAGAGTTTATGTAGAGTAACTTGCAGCATAATGCGACTCAAGAATAAACAAGATATTATATACTAATTACAGTGCAAATTATAACAAATTACAAATTATTTTACCTCCCAATGATACTGTTTTCCCTAAGAATCTGAGCTTTTGTTTTGTTTTTAACTGGTGCCATTAAAGCTAGTTTCTAATGGCCAGTCAGAAACAGCCCTTGGGCAACAGACTGAAATTACGTGCCAGGCTATGTTGCTATCCATGTCAAACCCTATCATCTTTGTAAGAAACATTTCCTCTTTGGAAAACATCCCCATATAAGACTGCAAGCAAGAGAAAAGACCAAGGTGAGGTAATGAGATGAAAAAAGCTCTCTGTAACAGTCGTGTTTAACTGGAATATGTATTACAATTCTCTCCCTGCCCCTCAAGCCCAAAACCTCTAACTGAAACTAGCCGAAAGGAAGAGGATTAACCTAAAATCCAAGCGAGACAGGTTAGAACTATGATCAGTGAGTAACAAAAAGAGAATCAGGTGGAAAAATATAAGGAGAGTTGAGGGGTTTGTACTCAACAGGGGTAAATCGTGAGGCAGTTTTATCTAGAAAGCAATGATACAGACACTCATGTAATTGTGTATCTGTGTACTACAATGCAGAGAGTTTACTTGCCTTAGGCAACAATTAAAAAAAAATTGTAATTTGTATTTGCAGGGTTTCACAATCTCAATCCTGAATTTACATCTCTACATACTTACTTGGCAGCAACCTGCTCTCACAGGAGTAGCACATCTGGTTTATAGAAAGCATGTTTCACCTGTTCCAGAAAAATAAAGTAAACTTCTAGATTGAGGTCGCCTTGATACAAATGAGATTGAAACTACCTCTACCCCTCACTTCCTAACTTTGAAAAGATGTCTCAGCTTCCTCACAGAACTTCAATAGGAGTCAAAGGAATGGGTTGGTCGGTCACCTACAAATTCTGGAGTTCCAAAAATGTTTTTAAATTCAACTCTATCTTCTGTTTTGTGAGCCAGGCTGAAGTCAACGAGCTTGATGCGTGGAATGGGGATATGCTTGTCCAGAAGCATAATGTTTTCAGGCTAAAAATAACAAAACATAGATCTTTGTGATTATAGTATTAATATCTTGGGAAAATAACAGAGTTCTCGAGTGTTTTCTTTTCTTCACATATACAACACTGTAAGACGAGAAACACATACCTGTACCTAATCATTTTCAATTCGTTCTTTTGATAACTGTGAAATTTGACTATCTGAATGGCCCAGAAGTTCATCAAAGCTAAGCAAATCTAGCAAGATTAATACTTTAATTCATTTAATTTTATCCCATGCAAAATCTGCCTTTCTCTATCTTCCTGTTAGCACTCCCAAGCTTTTCTTAATGATTGCTATTGCCAGGACAAAAACCAGATACCTTGTTTTCACAATGAGACCGAAGTTTTTCAACCAACCGTATGTAGTTCCCTAATCTGACAAGATATGCCACGAGATTATCGACCCAGCAGTATTGTGATATAACATAACATGGAAACTCCCCTCTCAAAACAGAAAATATACCCCTGGCCCACAGGGCCTCCTAGGAAGATGTCACACCCTAACCCTGTGGATTTGCCTCACTTACAACTGGTGCACACGTTAACAGCAGCTAGCAGGTAGCTTGAAGCAGTGCAGAAACCTGGTGCCAAGACAGACTGCCGCTGCTTGATCCTGAGGGAGAGCTGCACCACTGAATATTTTGACTGAAAGCAATTTTACTGATCTCTTCTTGTAATTTACACTGGGACACCTCACTCTTTCTACCCAGTTGCCCCTGTTCTGTATTGTAACCCACTGGAAGATGTCTTATCAAACACTTCTTGAGGTATTCTAGTCACATCTGAACCTACTTAGGGAAGGAAAATGCTCTTCTCTATGAGACTAAATTCACAGCTGCAACAACAAGGCCAGGAAAGATCTAGGATTTACTAACTGAACAGTCCAGAAAATTGAAAGAGTTGGGATCAGAGGTCCTAGCTCCTATACGATAGCAAGCTATTAAAAGACCGTGTAGCATTTCTCACAGCATTGTCAGGAAAAGCTGAAGCTAGAACTGTGAAATTAAAGCTAACTTTTTCAACCACAGACTTTGACTTTCTTTACCAGATATTTCATAAACTTATTCTTCAACTAAATTTCTCAGCCTGTTACTCCCTACCATGGCCCTATTTCACAGGTTTCAGAGTAAACTATGGGTTCAATTTATCTCCCACGAAAAGCTTTAATGCGTTAATTTGTCATAACTTAATCATAAGCTCAAGAGCAACAGTGAATCAGTTTGATTCTCTGCTGGCAGCTGCCTGGCCTTTTCACAGCAGATTCTAATGTGGAAGCAGCTCCTGTTAACACACACTCTCAGTCAGAGTTGCACCGGGAAAGACAGCATATGAATAATTTATTGTCATAGTCATTGGATCAAGAATATTTTAGCCTCAGGCTAACAAGTCTGTTTTTCTTCCATGGTTCTAGGGCATATATGTTCACATGATGTAAGCTTGTTTAGTGCAGGCAGAACAGACTGAAATGTCAAAAAGTCACAGTCTACCTCTTGGAATGTTTTATTGCTTAGGTGCTTTAAGTCACTGTAACTCCACTGCAGTCAATGGAACCCTGTCAAGTGATAAGATAATTCATAGAATCATAGAACTACAGAATGGTTTGGGTTGGA